AGTTAAATTTGATTTTGAAATCAAGAATTTATATAGTAAAACTTAGCTTTTACTTCATATATAATTGCTTGAGCTTTGTAGGAGGAAGAATGAGACGAAAGTCAATAGGCAACGGTGTTGATGTATCTTATTTTGGCTACAACTCATAAAAAGTTTTATATTTAATAAAAGCATTTTCTCATTATCTAAGTTACCAAATATAGTCTATGTTAAGGATAGTTGACCGTTCATTATAAGGCAAATATCTAGATATTTGCCTTACATTACGGGTTACCATATTTGCCATTTTATTAAATGCAAATATATTGTATTCATTTATTATTCTTTCCTTTTATCGCTATTTTCTTATTATTTGTAATTTACCTTATTTCTGTATTCTGTAAATGATTATAAATAAGAGAACTCTCACCACCATTTGGGTGTGGTGGATTAATCAAACATTCACATGGTATCAGAGCCTTTTCGGTTTAACAACCGTGATCCTTTCTTCTCTATGGCTTCCGAATCTTGTTATCATCTTCTTCCTTTCAATACTCTAATCCATATGATCACCATCAAACTTTCTTCCTCCAATTATCTTCTTTGAAAAAGCCAACTTCTCCCTCTCCTTGAGAGTCAAGACATGCTGGGCTATGTCGATGGAACTATGGTTCCACCACTTCGCTTTGAACCAGAAACCTCCTCAACATTCAACCCCAAATATTTGTCATGGAGAGCAGCCGATCAACGACTTCTCTGTCTCCTGCTCTCCTCTCTCACTAAGGAAGTCATGGCTGTTGTCGTTGGTCTCCATACTGCACGTGATGTTTGGCTTGCGTTGGAAACTACGTTCAGCCATCAGTCAAAAGCTCGTGAACTGAGACTCAAGGATGACTTGCAGTTGATGAAACGTGACACAAAACCTGTTGCTGAGTATGCCTGTGCCTTCAAAAAAGTTTGTGACCAACTTCATGCCATTGGTAGACCCGTCGAGGACATTGATAAAGTGCACTGGTTCCTTCGTGGACTCGGCACCGAATTTTCAGCTTTTTCTACTGCTCAGATGGCTCTCACCCCTATCCCCTATTTTGCAGATCTAGTCTCTAAAACTGAAAGTTTTGAGTTGTTCCAGCGCTCCCTTGAGTTCTCTGACTCCACTCCTACAACATTCACAGCCACTAATCGTGGTCGCACCCATGGAAGTCACCCTGCTTCCTTTACCAACCAGCGAGGTCGTTCTTATTCTCACAAAAACAACTCTTCTAATCGAGGACGAACCCACTCAAGTCAGGGTCGTCGACCACCTCATTGCCAAATATGCCGCAAAGAGAGCCATTATGCTGACCGCTGCAACCAACGGTATGTTCGACCTGATTCTTCTCATGCTCACCTTGCTGAAGCCTTTAACACGTCATGTTCTATTGCTGGACCCGATGCTGCTGATTGGTTTCTGGACACTGGAGCTTTGGCCCATATGACTGCCGACCCATCAATTCTGGATCAGCCTAAAAATTACACGGGTAAGGACTCTGTGATCGTAGGAAACGGTGCATCCCTACCCATTACCCACACCGGTACTCTTTCTCCTGTTCCAAATATTCACTTATTAGATGTCTTGGTTGTCCCTCACCTCACTAAAAATATTCTTTCCATAAGTAAATTAACGTCTGATTTTCCTCTCTCCGTTACATTTACTAATAATCTTATTACTATCCAGAATCATCAAACAGGAAGGGTGGTGGCAACCGGTAAAAGAGATGGAGGTCTATATGTGCTGGAGCGCGGCAACTCTGCTTTTATTTCAGCCCTTAAAAACAAATCTTTACGTGCTTCATATGATTTATGGCATGCTCGTCTGGGTCATGTGAATCATTCTTTTATTTCTTTTTTAAATAAAAAAGGTCATCTTTCTCTTACGTCTTTATTGCCTTCTCCATCATTATGTAATACTTGTCAGCTTGCGAAAAGTCATCGATTGCCTTATTCCTGCAATGAACGTAGGTCGTCTCATGTGTTAGATCTTATTCATTGTGATCTTTGGGGTCCTTCTCCCGTCAAATCAAATTCGGGTTTTCTTTATTATGTTATTTTTATTGATGATTATTCTCGATTCACTTGGTTTTACCCTTTAAAATTTAAATATGATTCTTTTGATATTTTTCTTCAATTTCAAAAATTTGTGGAAAATAAATATTCTTCTCGTATCAAGGTATTTCAAAGCGATGGTGGTACCGAATTTACTAGTACTTGTTTCAAAACTCATTTACGTAATTCTGGCATCCACCATCAACTCTCTTGTCCATATACACCTGCTCAAAATGGTCGTGTTGAGAGAAAACATCGTCATGTGACTGAGACTGGCTTGGCCCTTCTCGTTCACTCTCATCTTTCTCCTCGTTTTTGGGTTGACGCCTTCAGCACTGCAGCTTATATTATCAACCGGTTGCCTACTCCACTTCTTGGAGGTAAGTCACCCTTTGAACTCCTTTATGGCTACACTCCACATTATGACAATTTTCATCCCTTTGGTTGTCGTGTTTATCCTTATTTGCGTGATTATATGCCTAACAAGCTTTCTCCCCGCATCATTCCTTGTATTTTTTTGGGTTATAGTCCTGTTCATAAAGGGTTCCGCTGTTTTGATCCCGCCACCACTAAGCTATATATCACTTGCCATGCTCAATTTGATGAAACTCACTTTCCTGCTATCCCTAGCTCCCAAGCCCAACCTCTTTCCACTATTCCTATTTCAAATTTCTTGGAACCACATTTTCATCATATTGATTCATCCCCCCCTACCACTTCATCACCGCACATTCCTCAATCCAGTTCATCCCCGTGTGATATTTGTTCTGACCTTGTAGATGAGTCTGTGCAGGTTGATACTTCTCTTGCAGGTTCCACTTTGCCACCCTCGACTTCTAATTCGACCTCTATTGAACCTCCTGTTGATTTCTCTTCTTTGGGCACTCATCCTATGATCACACGCGCCAAAGCTGGTATATTCAAGACTCGTCATCCAGCAAATCTTGGTATGTTGGGCTCATCTGGACTTCTCTCTACTCTTCTTGCATCCACTGAGCCAAAAGGATTCAAATCTGCGGCTAAGAATTCTGCTTGGGAGGCTGCCATGGATGAAGAAATTCGAGCGTTACAACAAAATGATACTTGGACTTTGGTTCCTCGCCCTGCCAACACCAACATCGTGGGCTCTAAATGGGTGTTTCGTATTAAATATTTTCCCGATGGATCCGTCGAGCGTTTCAAGGCTCGTCTCGTTGCCAAAGGTTATACTCAGGTTCCTGGTCTTAACTACACTGACACTTTCAGTCTGGTTGTCAAAGCTACCACTGTCCGTGTTGTGCTTTCTATTGCAGTCACAAATAAATGGCCTCTTCGACAACTTGATGTCAAGAATGCTTTTTTCAATGGAACGCTTATTGAACGTGTTCATATGGAACAACCTCCTGGGTATGTTGATCCTCGATTTCCTATGCATGTTTGTCTATTAAAGAAAGCTCTCTATGGCTTAAAGCAAGCTCCTCGTGTTTGGTTTCAGCGTTTTAGTTCATTTCTTCTCACACTTGGGTTTTCTTGCAGTCGCGCTGACACGTCCCTTTTTGTCTTTCATCAGCAATCTAATCTTAACTATTTGCTTCTTTATGTTGATGACATTATTGTTACCGGCAACAACTCATCTCTTATTAACAGCTTTACTCGCAAGCTTCATTCTGAGTTTGCTACCAAAGATTTGGGTTCTCTCAGTTACTTTCTTGGTCTTGAAGCTTCACCCACTTCTGATGGTCTCTTTATCAGTCAGTTAAAATATGCTCGAGATATTCTTACTCGTGCTCAGTTGCTCGATAGTAAACCAGTTCACACTCCCATGGTTGTTTCTCAACACCTGACTGTTGATGGTTCTCCTTTCTCTGATCCTACTCTCTACAGATCTCTTGTTGGCGCCCTTCAGTACTTGACTATTACGCGTCCAGATATTGCCTATGCTGTCAATTCTGTCAGTCAATTCTTGCATGCCCCTACTGCAGATCACTTTCTTGCTGTCAAACGTATTCTTCGCTATGTCAAAGGAACACTCCACTTTGGTCTTACCTTTCATCCATCCACTGTTCCTAGTACGCTAGTCGCTTATTCGAATGCTGACTGGGCTGGTTGTCCCGATACTCGTCGTTCTACATCCGGCTATTCTATTTATCTTGGTAACAATCTCATTTCTTGGAGTGCCAAAAAGCAACCTACTGTATCACGCTCCAGCTGTGAATCTGAGTATCGTGCTCTTGCCACAACTGCTGCTGAACTTCTTTGGGTTACGCATCTTTTGCATGACCTCAAGGTCCCTATTTTACAGCAGCCCTTACTCTTATGTGACAACAAAAGTGCTATTTTTTTGAGCTCTAATCCTGTTTCTCACAAGCAAGTCAAACATGTTGAACTAGATTATCATCTCCTTCGAGAACTTGTTATCGCTGGCAAACTTCGCACACAATATGTACCCTCTCATCTCCAAGTTGCTGACATCTTCACAAAGAGTATTTCTCGACCTCTCTTTGAATTTTTCAGATCCAAGCTTCATGTTCGTTCAAATCCAACGCTCAGCTTGCGGGGGGGTGTTAAGGATAGTTGACCGTTCATTATAAGGCAAATATCTAGATAGTTGCCTTACATTACGGGTTACCATATTTGCCCTTTTATTAAATACAAATATATTGTATTCATTTATTATTCTTTTCTTTTATCGCTATTTCCTTGTTATTTGTAATTTACCTTATTTTTGTATTCTGTAAATGATTATAAATAAGAGAACACTCACTACCATTTGGGTGTGGTGGATTAATCAAACATTCACAGTCTAAAACTTAAATAACAAAAACAAAAAAATGGCCACTTATTTCCATTCCAATACTCACCATTTATATTCTCACTCACTTCAAGTTACCACTCTCAATATATTGAACTTACAATGCAACTACTACTACCTTTTGCTTCTTCATTTTCTTCTCTCAATGACTAAAACTCAACCACAACTTATCGAACGTCGACTTGGATCTAACGTTTCGATTTCGAGTTCTTTTCGAGGGGTTCGAAAGCAGAGTTGGGGTCGCTATGTATCTGAGATACGGTTACCAGGGAAGAAGACACGTGTGTGGCTTGGCTCCTTCGCCTCCCCAAAGATGGTCGCACGAGCCTACGACTCGGCAGCTGTATTTTTGAGAGGCACCTCTGCCTTGCTCAACTTCCCTGACTCTGTCGGCTCGCTCCAACAACCGGAGTCATGCTCGAGAGAACATATTCAATCGGCAGCGGCAAAGGCAGCAGCGCAAATGAGAGAGATGGAGGTTGGAGAGAGAAGGGCGAGCAACGGATTGAGTCGGACCATGTTTGAGGAGATGAAGGAAGTGCCATTGTTGAGTCCATTGAGGTTGGCTTGGCTTGGGATTGGACCAGCCTCGGACGAAGAAGACAATTTGTTATTACCCGACTATTTCTAAATTTCTAACCACAAATTTCGTGGGATAAGTTAGCCATGTAATTTGAGTCATTTGATAATGCTTTATCAATTGTATTCGTTTTGGGATGAATGTGGTCATTCATAGAAAGGGAATAAATGGTTAACCCTTATTGTACCGAAACGAATTACCAATAGAAAGAAACAGAATTAATAACATAATATTTTTCGAGCCAGAGTTTCTTTTTGTTGCATAAAACGGGAAGAGACTAAATCACGTACAAAGAATTACAATACTAACTCTCATTTTTATTGGCTAGCATAGATGGATGTTTGTTGCATAATTTTGATGGAATAGATAATTTGATTAATTCCAACTTTTTCATAGATGGAAAGTTAATTATAATAAAATAATATTTTTATTGTTAAAAAGTTTAATGCTCTAACCTTTGTGCTCATGACATAAGTTAGTGGACTATTATCAATTAAACTATACTTAAGTTGACGATAAAAATGTGTTATGAATACTAATATTGGTGTCTCAATTGTATTCATTCAAATGATTAAATTTAATTATAAGTATTGAGTTGGGTAAGTTTTGGTTATTACTTTTCTCGGAATAGTTTTTTTTTTTAAAATAAATTTGATTTTTAAATAAAATACAATTTTATAAAGCACATTGATAAAATTAATAATTTTTAGACTAAATTGAAATTCAATAAATAAGAAATGTTCATTTTTTTTAAAAAAAAAAAATTGGATGTATTTAAAAAAAAAAACCTTGAAAGATATATTATCTAAAAAAAATTGTTAATTAAAAATTATTAAAATATGAAGTATGAAAAAAAATGTTTATAATTAATAATCCAAGGATTTTGTTATTTAAAGTTATTTTAAAAAATATAGGATATAAAACATTTTTTAAGCCCGTTGTTCCATTCTATGCTATTCTAGCCAAGTTGTGACACCCAACTCATCTCGCGTGTTATGTGTCACAATCATGCTCGTTCAGGGCATGTTGTCCATGGTCGCATATTCATGCCCAGTCAAACCCTTTATGTCCTTCCATGTTATAATGCTTTTCTTTTGTATTTTTAAGGAGTATGACGTTTCGGAAAAATCATGTCTAGGTATGCCAGACATGAAATGCCTCAAAATATATTATAGGAGGATATGACTAGTTGTCAACTTTTCCGTACCCGATAGTTATAGTTGTAAGCCGTTGTTGTTGCCTTTTTGCTTGCATCACATATAACACCAATTTCAATCTTTCAAATCTTGCTTTCAAAACTCTCTACCCCCGTTTTCTAAAACTTTCTTCTTAAATCGAGGCCAAAGGCTCGAGCATACGTCGTTTGGCCGTAGGCGATGCAAGAACGAATTGGCTTATTTCACTTGTTGCTGGGAAGTGACTGCCGCACAATCGCAAATCCGCTGCCATAAATAATGCGATTGTGATACTATGTATCCATGTGATCCCTCACTCCGTTCAAGATTGGTTTACGGAGCATGAGTTCTAAATGAGTTCAAGATTGGTTCATTTCCACCCATAATACATAGTTATGAATCATGAATTAGATATACATTCCTACCTAGACTGATTTAGGTCACATGATCAATATGAAATCATGTAGCTACCGAACTAGGTTGCAAAATCATATGTAGCATCCCACCAATCAAAGTAAGACGTGTGGTCAGACAAATGTTATAGTCAAAAGTATATATATTTATATCATTTCTTTTCTTTTCCCCTTTTTTTCGTGTCATCCACTTCCCTCCTTTCTTCCACTTCGTTAATGTAAGAGTTACAAAAAAAAATGATATCCACGATTGTTGCGTTGATTGACTTGTACTGCCCTTCCAGAATTATTTTTTTGTCGACATCGATCTTTTGTATGTCTCCTCCTATCACAAAATTTACAGTGAAACTTAAGGATTCGACATTCATCAATTGTATGACTACTTTTATTGCAGTGTTCACATGATTTGTCCTTGGCGAATTTTGAATATGTTGTTTTCTTATGCACTGCTGATGCAATCGAGAAAATCTCAATAGGTTCAGAAGTTACCTGACACTGCATCTCTTCTTGTACAAATAATGAATAGGCTTGCCTCACATTAGGTAATGGAGTCATCATCAATATATTAGATCCCACCGTTTTATAAGACTCATTGAGCCCCATGAGTAGTTGCATCAACTTGTCTTCTTCGTGTTAATCAACATGTATTTGACGTTGATTACAGGTAAATGGTGTGCAGTATGCTTCCAATTCATCCCAGAGTGCTTTGAGCTTGGTGAAATACGTTGACAGTGTCATGGTTCCCTATGACATCATTGCTATTGACTTTATATCTGAAAACTGTTGGAGCATTCTTTTGTGAGAATTGATCATGAAGATCAACCCACACTTGATGAGCTGTCTTGGCATGAATAATACCTTTAGCGATATCTACTTCAATTGAATGAGTTAACCAAGATATTATCATACTGTTGCACTGATTCCAAAGTTCAAATTCGGTTGAATTTGCATCTTGAGACGGTTCTTCAATTGTGCCATCAATGAAACCAATTTTCTTTTTGGCAATAAGAGCATGCATAACTGATTTACTCCAGGATTGATAATTTGTTCGTTTTAATTTGATTGGAACAAAGTAAATATCCTGGTTGATCGAAGTGGTGATATAATAAGGATGTGTTAAATCAACCTTCGAAATTTTGAAGCTGGATTTGGCTGATTCCGCCATAAAGAAAATTTTGATATTTAAGAACACAAAAATCGGTGCTTTGATACCATGTTAAGAATGAGAAATAGAAGTGAGATCAAAAGTGCAATTTTCATTAATATTCGCAACCTTTAAAACAAATACAAGCTACCAACTAATACCTACAAATAAAAGGAAAATATAAACTAACTAAATCTTAAGAATAACATTAAAAAAATACTAGTAATCAAATCTTAAAATAAAATATTAATTGATTACGAATATTTAAGATATATTTCATAACTAATTATTTTAATATATTCTCTAAATATTATATCTTAATACATATGTATAGGAATACCTTAATTAACTTTAGCAAGGAAGTAGGGGTGTACACCCAACCTGAAAACCCGAGAACCCAACCCGACCCAACCCGAAATATAAGGGTTGGATTAGGTTGTGTTGGATTTCGGGTTTGGGTTGGGTCCATTTTTTTGAACTCGATCTGATTTGGGTTTGGTCTATTTTTTTGAACTCGATCTGATTTGGGTTGGGTTCGGATTCCAAAAAAATGATTGGGTCAACCCGACCCAACCCAAAAATATTGAAAAAAAAAAAAAAAGAAATTGAAGTCCAAACCCAACCCGACCAACCCAAAATATAAAGGTTGGATTTCGAGTCTGGATTGGGTCCATTTTTTTAACTCAATCTAATATGGGTTGGGTTCGGATTAAAAAAAAAACGATTGGGTCAACTCGACCCAACTCAAAAATATTGAAACAAAATTAAAGAAATTAAAGTTCAAACGCCCAAAATTAAAGCCTAATAACCAATGGCTAGTGTCTTGTCTCTGACCCCTTCTACAAAGCCCAAGCCTAACCCCTTTTGGCAAAGTCCAATAATTACCAATTTTGGTTTAAAGAAATTTAAAATAACTTCAATTACCAAAAAGCCTTATTTCTTTCTCTCCCTCATCCTCCTCACAACAGCGGAACTCTCTCTCTTTGCTCTATGCTCTCTTGTGTCTCTCTCCCCACTCTCAGTCATACAAACTTTTGTCTTACTCTCTCATTCTCTTCTCTCTCACAACCTACTGTATTAAGATTAGATTTGATTTAGTCCGTTAGATAAAACTTGGGTTTTTTCAGTTATTTCTTATTTAGATTTACACGATTTCAAAATTCCTCCGACAATTTTGTAGTGACATAGATTTAGTTGGCGACTCTAGTTTATATTTAAATAGGAAATCTGTTCAGAATATAGAATAACCTGATTTTGAACGCAGTTAAAATTTTAGTCATTCTCTCTCTGTATTTTATTTTTCTTCTAACAACCTCCCGTCGACGATTTCCTCTCACTGAATTTCTCTTGATTATCGAAAAACAATAAGTGGTATCAGAGCCAAGTTGAAGCCATCAGTGTATATCATTGCGGAGGAGCCAACCTATCAGCAAATAAGTTGAATAGCTCAAGTGGACACACAGATCTCAGGTTCGAGTAGAAGAAAACGCAAAGTGTTTATAGGTCTCAGGTTCGAGTGGAAGAAAATGCAAAGTGTAAAAAAAACACACACATCATGGGGTTTATCTTGAATAGGCTCACTCACTCACTCCTCCATGCTGCTGCCAACGCTGTGATGATTGGCTTGCACGCCTAAAGCTCCGCGACAACACCGGCGAGAGGTATTGTCCTTCAAATACTCATTTCAAAGGAAGTCGCCCGAGACACTCGTCTCGACACGCTCGCCCACACTGTGACACAAGTATGTGCCACAGGGTAGCTTATTTAGGCCACAGGGCCCAGGGGCCCAAGGGTGGTGGAGAGCTAACACCATGGTTACCGACGAAGACAGTATTCAATCCTATCCCCTTCGTTCTGGAGTTCAGGACTGATTTTCTATGGTCTCTTTTCCTTAAGCTTCAGCCCTCTTTAAGCTCTCTTCTAGGGAATTTTTGCTTGGTCTAGTACCAAGTCTCGATAAGCTGCCGCAATCAGGCAATTCGTTAAAAGAGATATCTGATCGATCTGTCTTTCAATACTGACTCTTTTCTATAGTACATTTTGAGCCATTTTCATTCTACCAGGTGTCGTGCATTGTCCATCCAATGTCCGATTGACACCAAACTTGGCGAGCATTCATATTTCATATGGACGGACTTAACTCCCGAACCGCATGCCCAAATTCCTTCCAAAACCCCGACTTTTGAGGTTAAGGCCCGGGGCCCTACCTGGCCCTTCAACAAGCCTATCTTGTCCTTCATGTCTATGCTGATGTCTCTGTTATGCTTATGTCTCAACATATATCTTCAATACCCACTTTGCGTGGTGGTGTGTTGGATG